TGAATGACTAAGGGAATGGATGAATGAATGAATGGGTTCCCGCCCACCATTCATTTGCTAACCTGTTCTGGTATTTGGCCCTCTCTTTTTAAGAATCCAGAGCACTCAGTTTTGGAGCGCTAACGCCTCCCGCACTGGTCCCACAGTAGTCGCATGGGCATTTGAGGAAGCCAGCATCTAAGCAGAGTCCCTTCTCTCCTTCTCATTTGGATTTAACTTTTCCTGACCTTCATGGTTCATCTGAATAATACGTTTCAAATGTTTCCTTTCAAATATCTTATATACTTAGTGTATTTTTAGATTGTGTCTTTTGAAGGCAGCCATAAGGAGAGCCTCTTAGAACATTCCAGGTGGGGTGGTGCTTTTGCACAAGGATAAATGAGGAGAATACGTTGGGTCTGGAATCCTTCCGGCACCGATGCCCAGGACTCTGTTGGATTTTGATGGCAGTGGCAGGTTGGGACAAGGTCCTTCCGGGACAAGTTGCAGTGGCTGTGACAATCAGATAGCTTTCCCAGGTAGAAAGGACAGCCAAGGGCTACCTTCTCATAAATATGGCTGAGGTCAGGGGCGCCTGGGTGGCTCAGTCGATTGAGCGTCCGACTTCAGCTCAGGTCATGATCTCACACTCCATGAGTTCGAGCCCTGCGTCAGGCTCTGTGCTGACAGCTCAGAGCCTGGAGCCTGCTTCGGATTCTGTGTCTCTCTCTCTCACTCTGCCCTTCCCCTGCTCATGCTCTGTCTCTCTCTGTCTCAAAAATAAATAAACACATTAAAAAAAAATATGGCTGAGGTCACAGCTCAGTGATGAAGTTGGAAATGGAGCAGGGAAAGTAACCATAATGATGAAGATCCCAGAGGGCTCTGTGCAGGGATCACAGCCATGGCTCTGAGAAGCTTGAAGCTCATAAGAGCCTGGACTCGAAGCAAGGATTAGTGGATAGGCTAGGTAGACTGGATGTGAGATTCTTGACCGAGGCTCAGCATCGCTAGACCTAGTGAGCATTCTCTAAAGCCCAAATAGACAATCTGGTGACTTTAGGATAAAAGCTGAAAGTTCTAGGGGCGCCTGTGTTGGCTCGGTCAGTTAAGCGTCTGACTTCAGCTCAGGTCATGATCTCCCGGTTCGTGGGTTCAAGCCCCGCACCGGGCTCTGTGCTGCCAGCTCAGAGCCTGGAGCCTGCTTCAGATTCTATGTCTCCCTCTCTCTCTGCCCCTCCCCCGCTCATGCTCTTTGTCTCTCTCTTTCAAAAATAAATGAATATTTAAAAAAATTCGAAAAGAAAAAAGGTGAAAGCTCTCCTTTGACATGCTAGTTGGGAAATTTGGGCCCCTGGATCCCTTGAAAAATACAGGTTGAAAATATTAAAATTTCCAGGGCGCCTGGGTGGCTCAGTTAGTAAAGCATCCAACTTCAGCTCAGGTCACGATCTCACAGTTTGTGAGATGGAACCCTGCATTGGGCTTTCTGCTGTCAGCACAGAGCCCACTTCGGATCCTCTGTCCCTCCTACCCCCCCTCCTTCTGCCCCTCCCCTGCTGGTTCTCTCTCTCTTTCTCTCTCAAAATAAATTAAAAAACTTAAAAAATAACATTAACATCTGTAAGAGTTGAAATAAACCCATGGCAGACAGCTCCCTGGAGGCTGTTGAGATAGTTGAGGAGTGGGAGTGAGCCTCCCATCCACTGTCGGCACATTTCCCAAATCTGAGCTGCTTCTTTTTTCAGTCAGTGGGATCTGATGAGTAGCAAGAAAGACTGAGATCAGCAGTGAGGAGGACAAATGGGTTCTGAAGAGGTCTCTTCCTCCCAACTCAGGGAGCTTATTAGCAACCTGTTGTTTCCCTGGGAGGCTGATCCATAAAACGAGACTTTCAAGGCATGCCAGGATCTCAGGGGTCATTGTGTCCTCTCTCATTTTATAGGTGTGCCTGTCAGCTGCAGCCCAGAGAAGGTAGTTCCTTTCCCAGGGTTGCAGCAGAGCTGGGTCTAGAACCCAGTCTCTGGCCTCCCAGCCCAGGTAAGCCAGGCCACAGCTGGCATGGATCCAGTTGTGAGGTCTTGTTCCGCAGGGGAAGTGGGTGAGGCCGTAAGAGGGAGGTGTTTGCCCATTCATGACACAGCCCAAATTGTAAGGCCCATTGTTTGAAACCCAAGGACCTGATGCTATTGAATGGCTTTTCCCAAATGCCACAGGTAGGACAGGTGCCCTACCTTTTTGCTCCAAGACACAACAAATGGGAGCCTGATCCTTTTCCCAGAAACTTCTGGCAAAGTCTGCATTCAAGGTGAGGTTGGAGGGGGGAAGGGCCACTGACCTTCATCACCCATCATTGTTTAAAGTTAATTTACTTGAGAGAGAGAGAGAGAGAGAGAGAGAGAGAACAAGTGTGCAAGTTCGGGAGGGGCAGAGACAGAGAGGGAGAGAGAGACTCCCAAGTGGGAGTGCGGAGCCCAACGTGGGGCCTGAACTCACGAACCGGGGAGATCACGACCGTAGCCAAAGTTGGACGCTTAACCCACTGAGCCACCCGGGCGTCCCATCCATCATTGTTTACTACTATTTTGTTTACTAGCTATTTTGTTCTGGTGACTCTGGGTCCCACAGGAAGGCCTGTCGGGACCCCTCTCCACTCTTCTTCCTCTTTCCTGTTTTTATTTGTACTGGCCTGACTCAGAGTCTGAGATACGACTCCCCACCTACCTCCCCAGCTCCCTATCCCAATCCACAGTATTGTCTTTCTTTGCCTCCGGCCTCCTTTCCCCAGTTCCAATGGGGTGCATAGTCCTTGATCGGGTGCTATCTTGCACCCGGAGTGACCTTGTCACATCCCTTCAGGTTGGAACTCTTGACTCAAATGCTGCCTCCTTCCCGAAGCCCTTCTGTGAGCCTCTGTTATAGCTTAACAGTTCCACCGGGCTCCCACTGTGTAGTGTCCCCTCCGCCCCCCACCCATGAATGGGCACCCTGGAACCTCCGAATGTGACCTCATTTGGAAATGAGGTTTTTGGACATGTAATCAGTTCAGGCTCATTCATTCCTGGCTGAGGCTTCATTACACATTGACTGGTATCCTTATAAAGAGAGGAGAGGACGTAGAGACAGGGACGGAGGGGAAGGCCACACGAGGAGGCAGAGACTGGACAGATCCCACCACAAGCCAAGGAAGGCCAGGAGCCACAGGAGCTGGAAGAGGCAAGAAGGAATCTCCCTTAGAGTCCTTAAAGGGAGCGGGGCCCTACTAATCTGTTATGGTGGCCAGAAGAAACGAATGATCTGTGCCCTGACTCTAAACACCTGCCACTGTCTCTGGGTCTTATTCATCTTTGCTGGGCCCACCCCCTCTCCAGGCTTAGAGCTATACCAAACACCTGCCAGACACCTCAAGCAGGGTCGGTGAACTAGACGGTCATCATGGCACAGATGGGCCCGGGGCCTGGCCCAGCACCGGGAATGGGAAGGATATGGGACTGCTGAATGGATGGGAAGAATAGGATTCCCAAAGCCACATAAAGGGCTACTTCCTGGCTAGCTGCTTTAGGGACAAGGCTATCAACCCACAGGCTGGAAACTCAATAACAGCCAAGCAAGTACAACTCCAAGCCAGTTCTCACAGTACCTCATTGAAAGGGGTGGGGCCCTGACTCCCAGCTCTAGCCGTCCTTCGCGGATGGACCGGGTCCGCATTTTTTTGCCCCTGCCTCCCTGGGCCCACCATCACAGCCCAGGGCTTTCATCTAGCTGGAACAGCCACTGCAAACACTTCCAAACAAACAGTCCAGTTCTCCTCCTCCCAGGGCCCCCCTGCTAAAACCCTGTCAAAGTCAAAGACTTGGGAGGCTGTGCCAGCTGACCAGCTAGCCGGATGCGCCCAAGCTCTGTGAATGCTTTCATGGAAGGAATTCCGGGGGAGCACAGAAAATTTAAAAAAGGAGTATAGTGGGAATAACCCACTCGGAGACCCTGACCATGGGCAGCCCTGCCTTGGTTAACCTCAGGATGCCATGGGTAAGAACAGATGTTTCCAGGTGAGGGAACTTCTGACTCCTGGAGCCTTCGTGTCCCTTTAAGAAAAACCCTCGTTTGGGTCACCTTTGTAGCCTAAGGCACACTTCCGCCCACAAATATTGCCAAAGATCATTATGAGAAAGGGGGGGGGAGGGGGGTTGCTGCTCCTTCCCAAAGGTAAACGGACTTCTCTTCTGGATATGCCACTGTTGGGAGAAGCTCTTCCTTCTTTCTCTTTTGGGGGCCTTCCCCCTCCAGATCCGATCCCACCCAAATCCAGGTTGGAAGGGCTCTCAGAGGCAGCGCACACACTCCTGGGCTCAGCATTGTCCCAAGGCCCTCTCCCCGGCCCCAGATGGACCCAGGCAGATTCCAAATTCCCCACCATGGCGGCAAGTGGAGGGCTCGTTAAAAACCATCTCTAGTAATTGGTCAGACAGTTATTAGTTATAGGGAGCACTCTTGTTCGTCCTGACCGGGCTGATGACTAAACCTAAGCATGAACGGCCCTGGAAGTTTCACGGGCCCCCATGGATCCTGTTTCTGGTGACGGGATACCAATTTGAGACATATTTCTAATTGGCCCTGAGTTTATACCCTGGAAGAGAATGTCCATTCCAAGTAAGGTGGGACAGGGTTCCCAGTGCATGAGCTTGTGGGGTGCCACTCCACTCTATTTCACTGCCTCCCCCTCCCATGCCATATACTTCTTTAATTTAGGGTTGTTTACACTAGTCAAGTTTCTCCAGATTGACAAAAAGAGTTCTTCGTAAGCCTACTGCAGCCAGTTACAAAAGCAGTAAAAGAGACCAGGACTTGGGCCAGCTGGAAGACTCTGAAGAAAGTTTCTGCGGGATGCAGACATCCAAGGAATGACAATCACACGCGACTGTCCCAGACCCCACATATCTCCACAAGGACACCTTCATCTGCCATCCTGATTCCCCCCCTCCGCCCCTCCCCACCCCTCCACAAAGAGCTTTGGGAGACTTTCGAGGAGGCATCACCCCAAGGCAATGAAACTGCTGAGTACAAGTCTCTTACTTCTCCTTTTTCAGTGTGTCCAAGGGTTAAAAACACTTCCGAACTATCCTTCCAACTGCAAGGTCAAGCAGCTGTCCAAACCACCCAAGGAGAAGCAGGAGCCAGGGACAGCCAACTCCAGCTAGCTGGGCCACCACGGCCCTCCCCTCCCCCACGCGGGCCCGGCAGGGGAAGAGTTAATCGCCATCAGCTTTGGCTGATAGTTCAGGCTCCAAAGTTCAGTCCCAGTCTGAGCCACCCCGGAGGAATTGTAAATCTCAGGGCAGTATTTAACAAAACAAAAGCAACCTGGAATTACATGCAGGTTTGGTTTTCTACAGTACATATTTACTTAATCCCCTAGGTATGTGGCTCCGTGTCAGATCAGCTGGCTTTGCCGGCCCTTCCCCCCCCCCCCCCCCCCTTGCTCTCAACAGTTGAAGTTTCAAACTAATTCCCTGATTTTGCTCTTCCTCCTCACAGGGCCGGCTTGAGACAGTCTGGCCTGCCAGCCTCCAATCTCTCTCTCTCCTTTGCTCTAGTCACTGGGTGAGTCAGCCTAGCTTGGGTCAGAGTTGGGTGACAGCCGGCTCACCCTCCCCACTCTCGGGCACCAGGTCTGGGAAAACCAGAGGAAGAGATGGTGTAACCACCAAAAAGCTAAAGACAGCCCTGGGGAGGGGGAGGGCCCTCCCCACAGTGCCACCTCCCCATTTACTGGGGAGGGATCCCCTCTGGGGCTGCATCTGGGGGGGGGGAGGGGGCACGGTTGAAGGTGAGAACAAGGGCGCTTTATCAGCTGCCATTACCCTTGTCCCCCTCTTTCTAGATTTCCAAATACCTGGGCGTGGGAGTGCATGTCAGGCCTGGCTAGACATCCAAGACCGCTCCCCACCCCCCTTTCAAACCCAAACCAAGTATCCCCTCTCTTCGTGCCTCCAGAGCTGCAGCCGCCCAGGTTGGAGCTGGGAAGCGGGTTGCCAAGGAAAATACGAAGCCAGCTAGCAGGCGGCTCCCAGCTCTACCCAGGAGCGCACACACCCTGCACTCACCAGGGTGGCGGCATCGAGGGGAAGGCGAGGGGGGAAAACACAACACCTTCCTTCGGGAGGGAGGAATGTGGGAAATGGGTGGGTCTCCTAAGTTTCGGGGTGGCGGCGAACGGCCAACCGGCCGCCGATCCCAAAGGAGCGGACCAGCTCCGGACCTGCCAGAAAAGACAGTCTGGTGCCCGGGAAAATTTACAAGGTGAAACTGGCTAGCTCAGCACTCGCGGGTGGCGCCGAGAAGTAGGGTGGCCGGCGACTCCTCTGGGCGCGGGTTCCGGCTGCGGCAGCAGGTGGGCGTCCCCCGCACCTTCGGCCCCCACCCCCTGGAGTCGCCGTGCCCCGGTACCTTTCTGGCGCCGCGTTCTGCGAACTCGCGAGCGAGCTGGCGTCCGATGCCTCTCCCGCCGCCGGTGATGAGGACGTTCTCCCGCGACAGGTCCCGAAGCTTGGCGGGCAGCACCAGTCCGACGGCTGCTTTGGCCACCAGATAGATCATCTGCAGAGGGAACACCACCAACGCGCCCAGCCATTTCCACACCATCCTCCGCGCCGCGGAGACAGGCAGGGGGGGCGAAACTCCCCGGACCGAGCAAAACAGGAATTAAAAAAAGAAAACACCCCAAACAATAATAAATAAACCGAATGAAAGGGGGAGAGAGGCGTCCCACCTGGCCACTGTTGAAATCACCTCTTCCCAAAAGCAAAGCACCGGGTGAGAAAAAAAAGAAAACCCCAGAACCAGCAAAAAAAAGAGAGAAAAAGAGAGAGGGAAAAAAAAAAAAAAGATAAATCCTCCTCGGGAGGAGAAAAACCGTCTGAGAAGGTTGGGACGGTAAGAGGGCTGGAGGGGAAGCCGGAGGTGGAAAGTTCTAACAAGAAGTTTCTTGCCCCAGCAGCCGTTTAGGCTGGGGAATTCTCAGGTAATGTTTACAGGCTGACAGAGGAGTTTAGGCAAGGGGAAAAAAAAAAAGGCACCAACCACACGCACGCACCCTGCTACAGTCCCGCGGTTTCAAAGTGCAAGATTTAAAAAAAAAAAAAAAAAAAAAAAGAAGGCCCTTTCCAATTGTAGCCCCCCCCCCCCCCCTTCTCCAAGAAAAAAAAAAAAAAAAGTGGTGGGGGGGGAGTGCTTGCAGCTCCCAATTTCAGCCCGCGAAAGTCTCCCGACTCATTGCTATTCTTGGGCTCAGGAAATTGCTTAAACGCGATCTGATTGCCAGCAACGTGCAGGAGAAGTGGGGGGTCCCGGTGTCAGTTTCTTTACGTGCATGGCTCGCCCTGGCGCGCGCTCGCTCTCTCCGGCTCTCTCCCTCCCTCTCCCAGCAGAGGCCGGGAGTTGCCGCTCGATCCGGCTCCCTTTCTCTCCCCTGTTAGCATTTATTGCCTTCTTTTTGTCCTTTCCAACTTGGAGAGGGCCCGGGTGCGGAGCGCGTGTGGATCGGACGCCCTCGTCAGCGCCGCCTTATTCATTCGCTCCCGGGGCAGCAGCGGCGCGGAGCGAGAGGGCTGCCCTTTTTTCCCCCCCATTTTTTAATACCCCATTAAGTCTGATTGACAGTTAAAGTTGTGCGGAGGCTCCACTACCGTTCCTCTGAGTGGCTGCCGCGGCCTCCCCTCCCCCCGCGCAGTGCGGGGCGCGCGCGCGGGCGCGCCCCCGGGCTCGCTCCGACTCGCGCTCTCCCGGGCAGGCTCCCCTCTCTGCAAGCCGGGACTTGCCGGCGGTGTCCCTGAGGGCTCGCGGCAGTAACTCGAACACGCTGGAACCGACTCCTGCGGACCGGCTCTCTCCTCGAGACATTCCTCCCGGTCGGGGACGCGGGCTCCCCGAGCTGGGGCGCCCGCGGGCCAGGTGCCGGGTCCTGCGCGCGGGGCAGGCCCGGGGGAGCTCGCGCACGCTTTGATCCAACCAGGTCGACCAGGGGTTATTTCGGGCTCTTTGGTCACCCCCTGCCTCCAGGTAGGACCAGGAAACCACTCCCGCCCTTTGCCCAGACGCCTTCTGTCTTCACTTAGCGTACACTTTCTTAGTCGGCCCGAGTCCTTCCTGTTGCTGGGGGGAAACAGCTGGGGAGCAGGGTTTTGTTTTGAGAGGCGTAGGGAGGGGGGTGGGGGGGGGAGGTGAGCAGGGTAAAGGAACCTCTGCCCCCAAGGTGCCAATAAAATCCCCGTAAGATTAGCTGGGAGCATATTTATTGCTCATCTGGGGTAGAATTACCTTGAGTGACAGCAATTTCTTTAATAACAAAAGCCTGCAAACAAGACGTCCTACACCGGTGCCCCCTGCGCTGCGCAGGCAGCGTCTTCTGTCTATGCGTCTCCTTGGGCTGCCCTAGCCTGGCACCCACCTTGTCACCTCCTGCCCTCCCCCCCCCGCAGGGAGAATACCTCCTCTGCCGGAGGGTGGGAGCCTGCTATTTAGAGATGTCTGCTGCGGGAAGTCTGGGAGGTGAGTCACGAAGAGGCAGCCCCAGTTAAAAGTGCTGATGGGACTTGCCTCCCACTGCCCCTGACCGTCCCAGGCCAGCAGGGGAGGGGATGAGCCGGGCAACTACCCTGTAATCTGGGACAGTGGTTCCCCAGCGCCAGGCGTGTTCAGGCGAGGAGGCTGGGCCTCACCCCCAGACGTTCTGATTCAGCAGGGCTGGGTGCACTGGAATCCCTGTGTTCCACCTGGTAATTCTGCTGCGAATCCGGTGAGAGAACTGCTTTCAGAAAAGCTGACTCGGGGAGGTGGCGGCTGGGGATTCCACAAAGACCCTCTAGTCCTGGGGAGAGGTTGTGCAGGTGAGGGTCCTCCTTCCCGGGGAGTTGGGAAACTCATCTGGACAGCCACTGGAAGAACAGGAAAGGCTTGGATGAGTGGGGTTGGAGGAGAAATTCTCCTACACTGAGGGTTTATATTCTGACATTTAATCCTCCCATTGACCTTGCAACGGGGGTATTAGTAGCTCCGTTTTCCTGGTTACCCGGCCAGAAACTGCAGGAGGGAGGGATTCCAACATGGACCTGATTTCTCCTCCCACCCCACCCGACTCGGGCACAAGCGGGCGACAGAGGTGGAGGATGACGTTCCCTCCCGTCTCCATTCGACCCTCCACAAGTGTGACTGAAGGAGCCGGCCGTCGCCCTCATTCCCACTCCCAGACTGGGGCTAAAGATAGGACTCTGTCGAAGTGCCTGACACCTCCCACCTTGGAGGTCTGTAAAAATGGAAAAGAAATCCCAACCTGAGAAGAGACCGGCCCTTTCCAGCCGCCGCCACGCCTGGTGTCCGCGGGCCTGTTAATCAATCAGCCCCTGGGAAAGTCTGGAGCTGGAACCCCACCCCCCTCCCCGGACCCCGCCTGTTACCATCCCTTATCCTCGGAACCGCCTAGTGGCCCGCCTGCGACACTGCACCTCCAAGCTGCCCCAGCCAAGGCCTCCCATGTTTCTGCTCACTCCCCAGCTATCCTTTTTCTTCCAGACCTTTCTCCTACGTAGTGGCAACACCCCGAGCCTAAAAGGGCCTGCGAAGATCATAGCCCCACCTCCCCACATGCCTGCTGCTTTATGGAGGAGGAAACTGAGGCACAGAGATGTTAGGCAATTCATAAACACCGTGGCATGTTCACCTATATCCCCTGGTCCCCCACATGTGTCCTGCTCCCTTCCGACGCCAGGCCAGCTGGGGGACCACTGGGTTCTGCCTACATTTCCCCTGGGTGTGTCCTTGGGATGGAAGGCAGGCAGTGGGCAGACAGGAGGTTGAGGACTCACGTTGACCTTCCGGGTATCAGGTCCCTCAACACATACTCTCATTTAAGAAAGGAGCCGGTCCGCAGAGGTGGGTGTCCTCACACCCATTTGACGCGGGAGGAAACAGGCACAGCAAATCCAAGTGACTTAGGAAGGCCACATGGGATGGTGCCCTTTTCTTTCCCAGCAGTCAGCTTTGGGATGAAATCAGAATGAAAAGGAACAAGTCAGACGATCCTAAAAGGTGCTGGGGGTTGGCTTATGGCCGGGAAGCAGACAGCTTTTTTCTGCTTGTATCACCTTCAGGATGTGGATTTTGTGGGCCTGGCATCCCCGGGGGCCTCAGGTTTCTTCTGTCATCAGCTCCCCCGTAGAGGTGTTGTCACCTCCTCTGTAGAGCATCCCCCCCGGGTCCTGAGAAGGATGAGGTTGAAGGGGCACTGGGCTGGGGGGTGTCCAGTCCAGCAGGTGGGCTCAGAGGGTCCCTGTGGCTTGGCTTTGGTGAGAAATGCATGGGCAGGACCCCTTCCTGTCGCCCCCATCCCTTGTCCTTTGCTCTTGGTACCCCTCCTCCCTTAGTTTCCTTGGGGGCAGGGGGTGAGGAATTTAACTTCAGGGCAAAGTTTGAAATTTCACATCCCAGCCCAGGGAGAGGGCCCCACAGTGCCTCCCCTCCACCACCCACCAAAAAAAAAAAAAAAAAAAAGAAAACCGTGAAAGGAGCCTTTGTGGGTTGGATGGAGTGGGGGGTGAGCTGTAGCCTGGAGAACTAACTTTTTCCATGACTCAGCTCTCCTGGCACAGGGCAGGCACAGGAGGTACAGAGACCCAGCAGGGCAGTTTGGGACCCGCCTCCTAGTCCAGAGCCAGCCCGTGTCAGGGTTAGAGGTGGGCCCCCAGGAGAGTCTCCCCTGAGATCAGCAGGGGAACTTTCTGGCCCTGGATAGGCCACGAGGCTGTAACCATCTCCCCCCGCCTCACTGCCCACTGAGTCCCCTATTTTTTACTTATTGGCATCCCCAGTGCCAAGCACATGAATGTTCATGGCACTTTCCTTAGCACCACCTCAACTGAGAAACTGGAAAAATAAACGGGCATCAAGCCTTGCCTTTTATTTACGAGACTCAGAGAAGTTAAGAAAGTCACCCAAGATCCCACAGCTAGGAGATGGAGATGGGACTTGAACCCTGGTCAAATGCTCTAAGTTCTGTCTACTTTATCCAGGGATGTCTCTCAGAACGTGTAGGACTCCCTGGGGTGCTGGTCCAAAATAAAGATTCCTGGGCTTCCAGCCTAGACTAGTAGGGTCAGGGCCCACGAGTGTGCATGCAGGCCAGGCAGGAGATTGTTGGGCACCCAATGGTTGAGAACCTTCCAGGGCTGTCGCTCCGTGGCCCCTTTGGTACTTACAGCCCCTGCATGAAGGTCTCCCCACCTCTTCCACCGCCGTGCAAGCCCTTCCGTCCTCGGCACTTAGGCTGTATCATGGTGTTAAGCCCTCCCTCATGGGCTGTTCTGGGTTGATCATTCTTGTCAGCTCGAGATACCTAATGGGGGGAGAAAACGGAAGCCAGAGGGA